TTGTATAATTGTTTGCAAGATTTCATTGGATATTGTGAACCAGCAGTCTTAACCTTTTATTTTGAGATTTCTAAATACAATCCAGCGCACCACTCCTGAAAGACTGAAAGCCCTGGCCGGTGACATTTTCCTTAGAGAGCAAACACCTGACGAGCCCTTTCGTGCATTTGTCTCTTTGACATTGCTTTATCCGCCCCGCCAGAAAATGCTATAGGTAACGAAGTAATTACAGGAGACCATCTATGTATAGTTCTACCAGCTATGTGCCAAAATTCAAATGGTTCTGTTTGTTTTATCTTTCATTCAGCTTTGCAATTATTAGATCCTATTTAAAAGCTGGAAGTGAAATAACCGAAGTCAAGTTAAGAAGAGAGTGGCATAGGTGGGGGTAAAACAATAAAGGGAAAGAACTGACTATTCAAAAAGGAACATCTCAAACTATCAGAGCCCCAGACCCCCGTCCAACTGAATCCACCCCAGCCAGGCATATTAAGCTGGGTCCCTGAAAAATCGCCCATCCTGTCTGGCAGTGAATGCTGTGTGTTCCAGATGGAGCTATGGTGTGTGCGTTTGCTCTGCTGACATGCTGCTTTGGTACAGAATGCACCACGGCCAAAGGGAGCAGAGACATGGACTCCTACAAAACAAAATCCCAGATACACCTCCAATGCCTCATCCCCTCCCCCGCCTCCCCACTGTGTGTCATCCCCTCCCCCACCTCCACATGGCCATTCTCAGCCTATTGCTAATAGTCCCTTCCAGCCTTCAGCACTATAAATAAATAAAACATGGTGTTACTAAAGGTAGATCATGCCAGAGAAATCTGATCTGGATGTCAGTAAGGCATTTGATACAGTTCCACATGGGAAACTATTCCTTAAATTGGAGAAGATGGGGATTAATATGAGAACTAAAAGTTCAATAAAGAATTGGTTAAAGGGGAGTCTACAAGGGGTCATACTGAACGGTGAGTTGTCAGGCTGGAGGGAGGTTACTAGTGGAGTTCCTCAGAGATTAGTCTTGGGACCAATCTTATTCAACATTTTTATTAGTGACCTTGGCACAAAAAGTGGGAGTGTGACACAAAGCTGGGAGGGATTGCCACTATGGAGGAGGACAGGAAAATCATACAAGAAGATCTGCATGACCTTGAAAGCTGGAGTAATAAAAAGGGGATGAAAATTAATAGTGCAAAATTATGCACTTAGGGACTAACGACAAGAATTTTTGCAATAAACTGGGGACTTATCAGTTGGAAGTGACAGAAAAGAAAGACCTAGGTGTATTGGCTGATCACAAGATAATTATGAGCTGCCAATGTGATGCGGCTGTGAAATAGGTTAATGCAGTCCTAGGATGCATCAGATGAGGTATTTCCAGTAGACACAGGAAAGGGTTAGTACTTCTTTATGCTGATTTATGCTGCACAGACACTAATGGGGATCAGAGCCCCATCGTGCTGCACATGGCAGAGAACCTGACTGAGATCAGCACCCCCATTGTGCTGGGCACTGCACAGACAGAGAGGGACAGTCCTTGCCCCAAAGAGATCACAATCCAAGTAGACAATGGGTACGAGGAAAACAGAGAGGGGCTGGGACTTCCCCAAGGTCACCAAGCAGGTCAGTGACAGAGCCAGGAAGAGACCCTGGTAACTCCAGTGCCCCGTCACCCGCAGCTTGGAAAGGTCCCCAGACCCCATTGTATTAGGCTGCAGAAAGAGGTGCTTTGTCCATTGATGCACAGGCTGTCTTGGCAGGGCAGCTCAGCTGCCGTCCCTGCACACAGCTGGGGGTGTGTGTCATGGGTCATGAGAAGTCAGTGTCCAGTCCTGTGGGGTTGTGCTCCTGGCTCATACCTCCAGCACTCACCGCTGCCCCTCTGTTACCAGCTGCACTGTTCAGCCAGCCCCACGGCTCAGTGAGGTCACTGTTGTGCTCCCCCCCGCATCCCTCGCAAGCCTTCAAACAGGGACATGGTGCACCGGTGCCAATCAGAGTGCACTACTGTAAATTCTGTCTATACTAAGGGTTTGCACCAGTCCCTAAAACACCAGTGTGGCAGAGACCTTCAGTGCCCAAAACAGCAGTACGGTGGCACTAGAACTGGGATCTGTTTCTAGCTCTGTCACGGATAGCCTGGGTGACCTTGGACACTTCAATATTTCTCCTCCCAACTTTAGTCTCTTTACCCAACTGCCCACTCATTGGGGTCTCCTCTCTCTCCAGAACTGCTCACCACTAAAACCTGTGTGGGTGTCACCAAAGCTAAGGTAGTTAATCTCTGGAATAGTCTTACAAGAGTGGCTGTGAAGTATCTTTCCCTGGAAGTTTTTAAGAACAGGTAGGACAAACCTCTGTCGGAGATAATCTACATATACTTGGTCCTGCCTCATTAGAGAGAGCTGGACTTGATAACATCTTGCGGTCCTGTCCAGCACTACATTTCTATGATGCTATGAAATATATACGTATAAACCACAACATACAGAATAAAACCCACCACAACATAATGTCAGGCAATTCATAAAAAAAGAAAAGGAAACCCACAGCATAAAATGACAATAGAAAGGAAAAGAAAACAATACTAACTAACACACCATAGGACAAAATTACACAATGAAAAAGAGCTCAACTCAAACCAACACAACAGAGGCACCAAACACGCTGAGGCAAAACAATGCACCATAAAACTATGCAACACAACATGGTGCAATCACAGTTCCAAATGGCATCATGCAAAACAGCTCAGCATAGAACACGACACACCACAAAACAGAATTATTTCAATGTAGGCATGGAAGGAATCTTGAGAGGTCGTCTACTCAAGCCTCCTGTGATGAGTCAGGACGAAGTATCCCTAGACATTCCCAGACTGGTGTACCTCTAACCTGATCTTAAAGACCTCCAGTGAAGGAAATTCCACAACCTCCCGTGGAAGCCAATGCAATGCAAACACAGACCAAAAGAACGCTGTACATCCACAAGCTGGGCTTGGGGCTAAGGGGAGAGGCAAGAATTCAAACAATCTGGGTTCAGCTTCCAGTTTTGCCCCAAATTCTCCATGCAAACTTGAGCAAATTACTTCAGCTCTCTGAGCTTCAGTTTCCCCATCTCTAAAATGGAGAGTCGCCTCCCACCATTTGCCTATTTAGCCTTTGAGATTTTTGTGGCAAGGAAGCTGTCACTGTGGGCATGTCAACACTGCAGTTAGACACCGGCGGCTGGCCCGTGCCCGCTGACTTGGGCTCACACGGCTCAGACTGCAGGGCTGTTTAATTGTGGTGTAGATGTTCCGGCTTGGGCTGCAGCCCAAGGTCTGTCACCCTCCCACCTCGCAGGGTCCTACAGCCTGGCTCCAGCTTGAGCCCAGACATCTACACTGCACTTAAACAGCCCCTTTGCCTGAGCCCTGTGAGCCTGAGTCAGGTGGCATGGGCCAGCTGGGGGGTTTTAATGGCAGGGTAGAGATACCCTTGGTGTCTGTTCAGCACCTGTCACAATGGGGACCCTGATCTTGGTCAGTGTCTGTGCAGAGCCCTGCACAACAAGGTCCCCGCTCTCTGTAGGCATCTGTGCAGTTCCTGGCACAACGAGTGCCCCAAACTCGGTCGGGGTTTGTGCAGTGCCCGGCACACTGGGGGACATGATCTTAGGCAAGGCCTGAGCCACGCACAGTACCATAAGAACCCTGATCTCAGTCAGACACCTGGAGAGAAAAGCGGGAAGATTTTCAAGAATTTGATATCAGGAGATCAGAACTGAGGAGAAAATGGGGCACAAACTAAATATTTGCCAATATAAGAGAGAAACACCAATATCTGAGGAGATTTTATGTCACCATTCAACAGTTCAAGAGAAAAGAAGGGAAATTTGAGGGGATTATATAGTGATATTCAATCAACAACAGAATGGGATGAATTCTTCTTCCCTCACATTCACATGGCCAGCAGGAAGCCCTGGTTGATGTCGCTTTCACAGGGGAAAGGAGTGGGGCTGGAGTCAGAAAGTCACTGGCTGTGGGGTCTGGAAATGTGACTAGCAGGCAGTGTCTTGGGGTCTCAGCTGGAGAAAGGACCCCCCGCCTAGGAATGTGTCTCTCACTGGTAGCAGTGGGGTCTGGGAATGTGACTAGCAGGTGATGGCGGGGGGGACGGACGGGGGGGGACGACGACTGGAAAACCTGGGGCTGGGCCGTATCCAGGGGGGACGCTTGCTCCTTCCTTCCCTTCCTGGGCCTTTCCATGCCCTGTTGCCAGCAGAGAGTGGCCCCCCAGCCCAGCCCAGCGGTATCCGTGTCTCAGGGCTCTCCCAGCCTCTGCCCATTAACACTCAATTTCAGAAATCACCCAGGGGAACGATTTCCCACCTAAACAAGGACAAATCACTGCAGGTAAAAATGGGGGGAAACACCCGAAACCTGAGATTTGAACTGGATACTGGCGAAGTGGAGAGAAAATGGGGCACAATCGGGGGAGGGGAACAGAGACCTTCTCAGGGATTTGAGGGAAAGGGGGGGGTCACCCTGGATGTTGCTCGTTGCTCTCTAGAGAGAAGGGGGCAGGGCTGGAGAGGATGGGGGGGTCCCCACGGGAGGGGGCAGCGGTAAATCCGAGGGGATCTCAGCCCCTCCCCCCCTTCTCTCCCCGCTCCTCGGGGGGTCACCTGCTCTTCTCCTCCCCCGGCCATGTCCGGGCTGCACAGACATTTTCCATCCGCCCCTTTCCCAGGTCTCCCCCACCCCGCCCGGCAGCCCCCGCCCGGCCCCACGCAGGGACCCCAGTGGGGGCTGGTCCCCTCCCCCCGGGACCCCCCCGTGGGGCCCCAGGGCCAGGCCTGGCCGGGGGCGTTGGGCTCCTGCGGGGACAGCAGCTCCGAGCCCCCCGCGGGCGCGGCCCCAGGGAGCAGATCCCGGCGCTGCGAGATGCCGGGTCCCCCCCACGGACACTGGGGCAGAGTCACCGCCCGGCCCCGCCCCGCCCCCGGGGCTCGCTCCGGTACCTGGAGGCTGGAGCTCCGCAGCGGGTGAGCGCTGCCTCTGCGCATGCGTGACTGCCCCCACCCCAGATCTGCGCATGCCCAGAGCCGGGAGACACAAACTCTTCTCCGGCTCCGGGAGAGGCTCCAACAGCTCCGCACGAGCCAGGCAGAGCCGCAGCGCCCCACGCGCGTTCACAGCCCGGCTCGTCCTCCCCGGTCCAACGTCACTTCCGTTCCCAGGAGAGGCAGGAACATCTCCCAGCGTGCCCTAGACGTCGCTTCCGCCCTCTTCAGGTCAAGTAAGGGAGGGTTTCAGTAGCTGTTCTTCTCCTCCTCCCTGTCCAACGTCACTTCCGCTCCCTGCAGAGTCAGGAACTACATCTCCCAGACTGCTCCGGGAAGTGCTTCCGCCCTCTTCAGCTCAGGTAAGGGAGGGTTTCAGCAGTTGCAAGCCCCCGTGGGGCCGGGAGAACAAAGCTGCTGCTGTTGTCTCCGTGTGACCCGGGCTGAGCAGCTGCTGTTCTCCGGGGTCTGTGCTGGGGGAGTCCGGCATTAACCCCTCCGTGCCTGGCGGGGGGGGGGGCTTTCTCCGGTTGGGACCAGCCCCCGGAGGCGGGAGGAGCGCTGGGGCCGGGCAGGAAAGTGACTCTCCGCCCCGGGGAACCTGGGAGAAGCCTCGGAGCTGCCTCAGCCCCAGCGGAGCTGCAGCAGGATCTGCCCCCGGCACCGCTGGGATTGGGGGGGGCAGAGACTGGGGCCCGGCGGGGAGGTCCCCTGTGTGTTGTGTATTTGGTTGTCATAGTAATAGAATCTTGTGTTGCTATGGCAACTGAGTTAGATTATTAGGGGATAGTCCAGACAGTTTTAGCTGGTTTTTGGTTAGTTCTGTGTGTGGCAATAAATGGCTGTTTCAAGGTTTACAGCTCTCTGTGTCTCCAGTGATTTCTTCCTAAAACTGTTGCCCTGAAGGCTATAACACTGTGGTATGGGGGGAGGTGGGAGTGTCGGGCAGGGAGGGGAGAAGCCGGAGTTGCGGCCCGCGGGAGGGGGGCGGGGGAGGGTGAAGTGTCTCTGTGCAGCCAGGAAATCCCCGGGGGAGAAGTGGCGGGCGGGAGAAGGGGAGTTAATTGGATCCTTTCCCTGTTTGTGCCACTTGCCTCTCACCCACTGATACAAATTCCCTCTAGTTCTTCCCCTTTTTTCTCTCAGTATCTCACACGTGGCTATAAAATCTGGGGAGATTTCCGCCCCCCCTTTCCCATCAAATGATCAGCTCTCTGGTCTCCCCTGATTTCCCCCTGGTCTCTCCATAATTCTGAAATGTCAGTTTAAAATCTGTCCAATGTGGCAGTTTTCCCCACCCATTTGATCTGCAGCGATTTGTCCTTGTCTCAGTGTTGCCCTGAGTCATGCCCCAAAACATGGCTGCCCCTGGAGTGAGGATGGGATGGGATACCTGTTCTCTGCCAGGGTAGGGAAGGGAGGAGCACGTGTTCCCCATGGGGACTGCCCAGACACCGGTTTCCCAATACCAGTTACTGCCCCCTAACTACCAACACAGTTGCCCCTAGCCATTGGTTGCCAGTCACCTGCCCATCCCCCTCTGCTGCCCCCTTCCTTCATCCAGGGAGCCTTCTGGCTCCCCCTCCCTTGCCCTCTAAAAGCAGCTTCTCAAAGGGCTCCCTGCTGCCCATGTGAATTTGGGCGGGGGGGAGACCATCACTTTGTGTTTGACTGGATTTTATATGACTGTCCAATACATAAACAGTCCCCCTTTTCCACTATTTAGTTAATAGCAATATAAAATCTCCTCAGATCTTGGTGTTTTTCTCTCATGTTATCAATTGCACAGTTTGTGACACGTATTCTCTGCCAATCTCAAAGACTTATATAAAATACCCTAAACATTTGCTCCACTTTGTCTCTAGTTGTCTAATTCTAGTTGAATATGTCCTGAGAGTTTTCCTGTCTTTCTAATTTTAAAATACAAAGAAAATCTCAATTTACACCTTTTCTCAGATTCTTGAACATGGATATAAAATGTTTCCAAATTTTGCCCATTCCCACTTTATTCATATATCAAATATTGATGTGAAATATGCTCAGATTTTACCTCATATCAACAACTGGTACAAAATCCTTCTGATTTCCACTTTCCTCTCTATAATTTGCAAAAATTGATCCAAAATCCCTCAGATTTCCACCCTTTTTCTTTCATTTCTGGACATTGATCTCAAATTTCAGGTTTTCCCTCTTTCTATGTCATTATCAAATGTCAATTAAAAATCCTCTTGGGTCTGGGGCTCTTCCCCATGTTTCTAATGCCAGCAACTTCTCCTTCCTTGGAGGGAACTTGTTGCCCTGAGTCATTCTCCATCCTGGATGTTGCAGGGGGTTAAATTGCCCAGTGAGCATCTTTCCCCTCTCCTTTGAGAATCATTTCTTCCCTTCAATCTCAAGCTCCTGACCTTGCTCTTTCTCCCTGATCAGCTTGTGCCAGAATCCTGGGGGCATTCCCTGTCCACGCCCAGTCACCGTGTTAACTTTCTATCCACTTATCAAACACTGTGAGGTGAAATCACAAATTTTTCTTTTCTCCCCTCTTGAAAACTGCAGGACCTTCCGGTTCCGTGCCTGACTAACCTAATTGCCTTCTATGATGAGATAACTGGCTCTGTGGATGAGGGGAAAGCAGTGGATGTGTTATTCCTTGACTTTAGCAAAGCTTTTGATACGGTCTCCCACAGTATTCTTGCTGCCAAGTTAAAGAAGTATGGGCTGGATGAATGGACTGTAAGGTGGATAGAAAGCTGGCTAGATCGTCGGGTTCAACGGGTAGTGATCAATGGCTCCATGTCTAGTTGGCAGCCAGTTTCAAGCGGAGTGCCCCAAGGGTCGGTCCTGGGGCCGGTTTTGTTTAATATCTTTATTAATGATCTGGAGGATGGTGTGGACTGCACTCTCAGCAAGTTTGCCAATGACACTAAACTAGGAGGCGTGGTAGATACACTAGAGGGTAGGGATCGGATACAGAGGGACCTAGACAAATTAGAGGATTGGGCCAAAAGAAACCTGATGAGGTTCAACAAGGACAAGTGCAGAGTCCTGCACCTAGGACGGAAGAATCCTATGCACTGCTACAGACTAGGGACCGAGTGGCTAGGTAGTAGTTCTGCAGAAAAGGACCTAGGGGTCACAGTGGACGAGAAGCTGGATATGAGTCAACAGTGTGCTCTTGTTGCCAAGAAGGCTAACGGCATTTTGGGCTGTATAAGTAGGGGTATTGCCAGCAGATCGAGGGACGTGATCGTTCCCCTTTATTCGACATTGGTGAGGCCTCATCTGGAGTACTGTGTCCAGTCTTGGGCCCCACACTACAAGAAGGATGTGGAAAAATTGGAAAGAGTCCAGCGGAGGGCAACAAAAATGATTAGGGGTCTGGAGTGCATGACTTATGAGGAGAGGCTGAGGGAACTGGGATTGTTTAGTCTCCAGAAGAGAAGAATGAGGGGGGATTTGATAGCAGCCTTCAACTACCTGAAGGGGGGTTCCAAAGAGGATGGAACTCGGCTGTTCTCAATGGTGGCAGATGACAGAACAAGGAGCAATGGTCTCAAGTTGCAGTGGGGGAGGTCTAGGTTGGATATTAGGAAACACTATTTCACTAGGAGGGTGGTGAAGCACTGGAATGCATTACCTAGGGAGGTGGTGGAGTCTCCTTCCTTGGAGGTTTTTAAGGCCCGGCTTGACAAAGCCCTGGCTGGGATGATTTAGTTGGGAATTGGTCCTGCTTTGAGCAGGGGGTTGGACTAGATGAGCTCCTGAGGTCCCTTCCAACCCTGATATTCTATGATTCTATGATTCCATAGGAAAATTTGTGCCCCGAGTCCTTCTCCTAGATCTGGGAGGTGGGAAGGGGGTTAGCACTGCCACATGATGACCTCTTCCACAGCATTCTGGACTCATGCTTTCTGAAATCTGGTTTCATTGAGACCATTATTAATCCAGAATCACTGTATGGAAAGACAAGGAGTGACTCCAGATGGACAGTGGGGCAAATGAGATTCTCCCTGTGAGGAGGGGCTCTCATTAGCTGCTCTCCCCAGAGAGCTAAAGGAGGGAAGCTGCTCAAACACTCTGTCCCTCTCTGCTCAGGATATTGGGCTTCAGCTTCTTGGGTCAAAGGCTGCAGCCCCATTGCGATCTGGGAGACCAGGCTTAGCAGCTGCTGCTCCCCCAGTGGGGGTTCTGTGCTGCGATGTGACCTTAATTAAAGGTTCTTCTCTGCCCAGCACAGGTGATGACTTTCTCCTGCTGGTATTAGCCCCCTGGGGCAGACCTGGGCTCTGTTAATACAAATTCTGAGCCACAGACTCCAGGTAACTGAAAGACCTCAGGGAAAGTGCTGGGGACTGGCAAGAAAGTGACTCTGCACAAACAGCCCCCCCTCATTTCTCCTTCCATTAGCAATTGCCAGGAGAACATCCAGCCATGGGAGACCAAAGCACCCAGGAATGGGACTGTCCTTCCCCAGTCCTCTTTCCCTGCCCCTCTGGCTGGGAGAGACTGAAAGGGGCAGTAGTAGAAATGAGTGGGGAGAGAGATTTCCAGCTCTCTAGTCCACCCAGACACATGTATTGCACCATCCCTGGGCAGAATCACTTTCCAGTGAACAAGAAAAGGATCAGACAGAGGAAAAGCCAGTTCCTGATTCCATATTCCTCCTAATAGGGTGTGGCTGCCGTGGGGTCACTGTCCAAGGGAATCCCCCACAGTGACTCCTTTGGTTCTGCTCTTTTCTAGCATTGTGTTCAGAGACTTTGTTACGGGATGTGGGGAGGGAGAAGGGAGGTTAAAAATCTCTCTGTGGGCTTAGCCTGGCAGGAGGGGCCAGGTCTACACTGTAATAAAGAGATCAAGCATTTTCCAGGATGGTAGACTCGAGGATGTCTGTCTGCAGGGAAAGGGCCTGGGAAGATTGTGATGTGAAATTAACTAAAGCCTGTTCTGAAACCCCCACAATTACCCTTCTCACCCTCCCAGGCTGCAGAATGACGTCCATGTTTCGCTCCAGCTCATCCCATCCTCCCGTGGGACAGGGGAGAGAAATGGCTGCAGTGGAACCAGTTCAGGTAGGGATTATTGGGGGGTTGCTGGTGGGTTCCTGCTGGAGGGAGAGGGACGCCAAATACACTGGAGATGGGAAGGTTTGCACAGTCTGGTTTGAAGGTTGGAGCGGGGCAGGAAATGTACAGGGTAGAGAAAGGGAGGAGGACAGGGTGTGGCAAACCTGCTGGGAATTGTTTAATAAGTGGCCTAGATTCTAGGAACAGACCCATGAGGTTAGGAGGTTGAAATGCCCTCATTTGTGGAAAAGAATGTAACCCACCTATGTGGGGCTAGAAAAACTGAACAGACTCCCAGTGCTGGAGCCTGACCCGACTAACCAGCGTCTGCTGAGAGATATGAAGGGGGCACCCACGAGTCAGGCTTAGGGGAGATTCCCCTCCGTTCATATCCAGCTCCTCAAAATGAGGAGGGTGTTTGGCTTCCTACCAGGGAGTACTCCCTGGACCCTGCTAGGGGCTCCATCTCCTTTATCAGTCGGTGGCTAATAGGTGTGTGATGGATCTGCTGGGAGAGACAAGGGGCTCTCTCTTCGTCCCCTTAACCTGGTGTTTCCAGGATGCTCTGAGTGGGCTGGGGTGGAACTCTGTTGACTGCGATTGGGAGTGTGAGTGGGGCAGCAGGTACTGAGTGTTGGACTTCTGCTGTTTCAGGGGCCGGTGACCTTCGAGGAGGTGGCTGTGTATTTCACCAGGGAAGAGTGGGCTCTGCTGGACCCTGCTCAGAGAGCCCTCTACAGGGATGTCATGCAGGAGAACTACGAGAATGTGACCTCGCTGGGTAAGGATTCCTGTCCCCTCTGTTCTTGGAAGGGGAAATGAAGAGTTAAGGTTCATGCCACCCCCCAACTACCATCTCTACTCTGCCCTGTTTCAGCATCACCCCAATATGCCAGTGACACACACACTGCCAGAGACCCTCCCCGCTGCAGAACACTTTGGGAACAGAGCACAGGAGCAGTATCGCAGTGTCAAATATCTCTTTTTGTTCAAGTAAAACTGGGGTTTAGGTCCAGCATAATGAACAGAAGCTTCCTACCCCTGACCTTCTCTTCAAACCTGAGCCTACTCCACCCAAACCAGAATGTGCTTGGGGTGTAACAAACAGGCTGCTGAAGTCAGAGCTGCTGGTCCAGGGTTACTTATCACACAGACACTCAGTGCATCCTTGAATGCTGGCTGGGAGTATCCAGACAAGGGAGCTCCAGCAGCAGAATATTGAATCTCACCCAGGATTACAGATGACACAACTCCTCACTGGTCTGGTTTGCACCCCACCATGTGAAAATGGCTTAGGTTGGTAGTGACATTTCTTGAGACATGGAGAGTCTTGCTCCCCCATCACCATGTCCAATACGCACAATCTCTCTTCTCTGCAGGCTTCTTGGATTTTTGAGTCCCTCATTCCTGAAGTCACATGACCCCGATTCTTATTTTTCACATTCTGCTTTTCCAGACTAATTAGAGTCTGTTGCTCATGAATTATAGCTTCTAATTTCCCAGTGTTCTCCACACCCTGGGATTTTCCTACTCCCTCCCATTACACTGGACTCACTGGATTCCCTAGTACATAAGAACAGCCATACTGGGTCAGACCAAAGGTCCATCCAGCCCAGTATACTGTTGTCTAACAATGGCCAATGCCAGGTGCCTCAGAGCGAATGAACACAACAGGTAATCATCAAGTGATCCATCACCTGTCGGGCATTCCCAGCTTCTAGCAAGCAGAGGCTACAGACATCATCCCTGCCCATCCTGGCTAATGGCCATTGATGGACCTATCTTCCATTAATTTATCTTGTTCTTTTTTGAACCCTGTTACAGTCTTGGCCTTCACAACGTCCTCTGGCAAAGAGTTCCACAGGTTGACTGTGCATTGTTTGAAGAAATACTTCCTTTTGTTTGTTTTATACCCGCTGCCTATTAATTTCATTTTGTGATTCCTAGTCCTTGTCTTATGAGAAGGAGTAAATAACTTCCTTATTTACTTTGTCCACACCAGTCATGATTTTATAGACCTCTCTCCTATCCCCCCTTCGTCTCTTTTCCAAGCTGAAAAGTCCCAGTCTTTTTCAACTCTCCTCATACAGAAGCTGTTTCATACCCCTAACCATTTTTTTTTGCCCTTTTCTCTACCTTTTCCAATTCCAACATATCTTCTTTCAGATGGGGCAACCACATCTGCACGCAGTGTTTGAGATATGGGCATATCATGGATTTATATAGTGGCAATATGATATTTTCTGTCTTATTATCTATCCCTTTTTTATTGATTCTCAACATTCTGTTCACTTTTTGACTGCCACTGCACATTGAGTGGATGTTTTCAGAGAACTATACACATTGACTCCTCGATCTCTCTCTCGAGTGGAAACAGCTAATTTAGACCCCATCATTTTATATGTATAGTATTTTCCAATGGGCTGCAATAAGCGTTATCCTGACATCTAGTACTGCTGAGATCCTGCATTCCATAATATCCCTGCCCTTCCTGTTCCCTTTCTCCACTGAACCCCACCAGCCCATGCTTACTGTTCCCAGCTTCCCCAGTACTCTCTCATTGTCTCTGGACCTCTCTGTCAGCAAGAAGCAGAGCCAGGGAGACTTGCCCTCTGTCTGGAGTCTTCAAATTCTGGGACATGATTTTACTTTCTCTGTGTTTTAGGAGCCTCTTTGAAATTGAGTGTCTGTGACATTAACCACAGTGCAATCTGGACTGTTGAACAGCTGTGTCCCCTCAGTTCCCCAACTGGGGTGCCTTTTACCCTGGTTTACTGTGAGAACAGCCACTCCTGGGCAGTTAACACACAGTCTCCAGCATCTAACTCACTCCCAGCTACACAGTATTGAGTGCTGCTAGTCAGCGACTCACGAATTACAGTACACCACAGGAGAACCGCAGAAAATTCTCTGGTCCCAGACTTCCCCCAGAAATGTGCATCTTGCACTGTCCAGAACAGTACTGAACAACGCAAGCTCATATAAAGTCTGTTATTTCATCAGTGGAAAATGACATGCACCAGCCTTGTTATTCCCAAATAGAGTTTCCAACACACTTTAATCCAAACACACTGGTTAGATAAAACAATAAAACAAGATTAACTACCGAAAAAAAAATTGACTACAGATAATGAGGCATAAAAGTCAGAATTGTTTACAAAAGAAATGCAAGATAAAACACAAACCAATGTTTAACTTGACAAGCTAAAACAGATTCAAAGCAAGTGTTTCTCTCACCATATGCTGAGACAGGCTGGCTTTCCTTTCAGCCAGGACTCCCCCTAACCCATCCCTGCCGCCCAAGTTCAGTTCTTCAGGAGTTGGCATGAGCAGAAGGAAAGGGGAGAGGGAGAGTCTCAAACATTTTTCTCACCTCTTTTTATAATTCAGTCCTTTGTACTAGAAACAACTTCAGTTCTCAGCTCAGTCATGGTGACAGGCTGTTTGTTGTAGATATGAGCTTCAAGAGGTTCCTGTGATGGAATGTAAATGTCTTCTTCACACCTTCCCCCTGCCGCAGAATGGCTATGTGACCAGCTGTTTGCCTTGCTGTCTCTGAGGAACTGGTCTGTGGGTGTTCCCCAGAATTGTAACTTTTTCAGTAATATCATACTGCAAAATCTCATAACTTTACATACAGTGTTGCTACACATTTTTAACAGGAGGATAATATTCAGTAGATTATGTGTTTTCAAATGATATCTCACAAGCCATACTGTGTACAAAATTTTTCATAATTTGCTAGAAGAGTGATCATAGGGGTACAGACTGACACAATGTCTGTCTGTGTGTGTTCCCAGCAGATATGTGGGTATTTCAATCCCTCATAAGCAGAGTGTTCAGCATCTTCAAGGACTTGGGGAGCTGGTCCTGGGAATTCACTGGTTTACTATGTGTGACACTCTATGGAATTGTGAGACACTTTATATTATTATTTTATTATTAATACCAATCTGACAAAATTAAAATGAATCGTGCTAGATATGCCATGTAAGGTGTCAGTGAAAATGTTATGATTTTCTAAGTATGATAATTTTGTTTCTATGTTTGTATCACCTTTGTATTGTGAGTTATAGATGTGTAGAGTATATCTGTATTTCCAGACTTGTGCAGTGTTTCTAGTTGACACCCCCAGACATACTGGCATCAGCACTGCCTAGGCTGTTTGATGGCCCATTCAGGGTCATCAGCTGTACAATGAGCCCATGGAAAGGATCAAGGGGATACACCTATTGAGTCAGCAAGACATGCAAGGGTATGCCTGTATATGGAGAACGCCAAGGCTTTTCCATGCCATGTGCTGTGAAGCTTGTGTTTGGGACACAGGAAGTAGAAGCCACATGGCAAAAGGAATATAAAGGGCAGCTGCATCATCTCCATTTTGTCTTCAATCCCTCTTCCTACCTCTGGAGCAACTTCTCTACAAACTGAAACCTTGAACATAGGACTGAATGACCCAGGCAAACTGTGGATGTGTTCCAGACGGACTTTCAAGCCAGCAACTCACCAATACTGTTAAGAACCTGATATATAGCTTTGGAATGTATCTGACTGCTTTCCCATTTAACGTCTTCCTTCCTTCCTTTAGTTTAGATGCTAAAGGATTGGCTGGCAGGATGATATTTTGTTTAAGATCCAAATCTATAGTGATCTGGTAATGTGGCTGACGCTTTGGGGTCAGAAGAACATCTTGTTTGTGAGCAGAGTTTTTAAATAACCTCTCAGTATACTGGACCCTAGGTGCTGATTGGGAGTCAGAGAACTGGAATGCAATAAAGGGGGCTGTGGGATTTCTTTTTCCAGCTTCTCAATAACCAGTGTGGGTGATCAGAAGCACAGTTTGTGACTGGTTGGTGAGTTTAACTTCAGTGTTAGCCACCAGTTTTGGGAGCATCTGCCCTCCTTTTTTCAGCCTGCCCTGCCCTTGGCATTTTCAGTGAGGCCTGCTCCAGGCACACCAGGTCACACTAAGCACTGAAGTTAAATTAATAGAATGCTTTTTATGACAAAGTCTTATGAAATCAATGGAACTCCTTTGTTTTCTTTCATCTGAGCAGGGTTTCCAGTTTCCCAATGTGATGTCATCTCCCAGCTGGAACAAGGGAAAGAGTAATGGGTCTCAGACCTCCAGGATTCAGAGGAAAGAGAGATCCTGAGAGCTCCCTGCACAGGTGAGGAAACATTAAACCAACTCAAAATCTGTAAGTGCCTGAAGGAAACATCTGGGATACGCTACAAAGCGCTTGGGAGTTCTCTCAGTTCATTATTGTCCCTTGCAGGGGTTGTATCCTCAGGGTAAATACAGCTCATGGCTTCCTATAGATCCTAGCAGACACCAGGCAGTAGCTTCTTCCCTTCCCCATGTGAATTTGGATGGAGTTCAGTTCCTGAATTTTATTTGACATCTCTCCAGCACTTGTTTTGGTTTGGTTTTCCCCTTTCCATCCCTGTTTGAGGTTTCTGTCTCTATCACAGCAGGTGATGCAATGGTATGTGAGAAAGAGGAGCAGAATTCTCAGCAGGAAAATGTTGTGCAAGTGGATAAACAAAGAGGATTATCGCAAAGATCAAAAAGGAATGTGTCCTGGAGTCATGACCAGGGAAAATCCTGTGAGATTCAGCACAGACCAGAAAGAGAGCAGGGAAACCAGCCAGGGGAGAAAGTGGGTAAATTTATTTCCTGTTGGGCAAC